AACGCTGTGAAAACACTCAATCCAAGCAAAATTTCGATCCTTTTTCGGACTTCAGAGGAACGCTCAGCGAAAATGCACTTCAGCTTTGTAGTCCACGTGAGATCCCCTAAACAACGCGGAAACCGTTTTGAAAAAAACGCTCCACACCCAGAGAAAATTCCCCTGCACATGCAGCACTATTTACCTTCCATGCGCGATCTGTCACTTCTTATCTGACAAATAAATGCTGTAATACTCACCCCTGATGGAACTTGAAATGCATACGAATGCTCTTGCTCGTCTAAATCCCACTGCCCTACACGATAATAGTAGTCGTGAGTGGAGTTCACAAAACGATCGAAATCATTGGAAGGCAAATAGCAGTGATCAAACGCGTCCACTTGTGATGAAGCAGGTACAGTCTTAAAGCTGTGTAAATGTAAGATATACATCGGATATACATTTTGGTCTAATGTTAATTCCGGAGAAATCTGCCATGCAAACTTAATGACCTAACCTCCTGGTTATTGAATTCCCAGTTGAACGGTCTTTCTTCATAATCAAGTTTAGCCATATCTGCCAGCATCAGGAGGTTATCCGATTCCTCCATGGTGCCTAGAAGCGCTTTTGTTAGAAACGCTATCGTTGGAGGAACTCGGGTACACGACTTGTAGGCAAAAGAAGTAATGGTAGTGCTAACAAACACACGTTTCAAGCAAGTTTTCCAATAACAGGTTTCATGATTCCGTTCTCTTTCCGTAGATGCCATTCTACTGCGCATAGTTTCTAGCAATATGAAAGCATGCTGCTTGAAGCTCCCTCCTTCCTTTGGCAAATACGGTTGTACTAGTAACAATTTCGTGTGAAGACCAAAAGTACAGGGTAGGCAAAAACCAAGCTAATCGGGCCGAAAAGACCGAAATCGCCTAGGTCAAATCCTCAGCGACACATTGTGTCTAAGAGAACAGTGTACAAGCATTAGAATACCCAACTTACCCATCTCTAATTAGGCGTTCCCGAGTAGGCCCAAGTTCCAAAGAGGTCTACACAACCAATCTATGTTACGATGTTTAGCAAAGGTTGCCTTC